CCTTTTGACTTCTTCACTCGATATACCCCTCTCTTTTGCTTCACTTTTCTCTCTTTCAGACTCTCTTGACCCATGCCCTCCTTTTTTTGTCCTCTTTGTGAAACTCTATATATTTTCCTCTTTGACCGTCAAGCGACCAGGGTAAGAGATTAAAAATATCTCCAGGCTGAATTCTTTTTGATGTGTATTTTTCCTTTTCACTTTAATCCTTGTCAGGGTCACTTTTAAAATAAACTCCTAAGCTTGTGCAAGTATGATTTATTTATTCTTGAATGATAATATGGCATTGTATCAACAAGGTGCCCATTGGGTATTTCTCAGTTATTTTGGGCGGTATATACTGTGCAACGGTAGAAATGTGTCCACTGGTAAAGATTTTCTGAAACCGTTTATACAGCAGGACCTATTCAGGGCAGGCCATGTAGCAAATCAGGGCTGGAGTCTGGTGTGATCTTGTGATTCTAGCATGATCTTGCAAGGTAATGTGATTTGGGCAGACATAGAGGAGGAAAGTGACCTTCAGGGCCCTGACACACCAATCCATCAGTCGGCCATAGGTCAATGTCAGTCCGTCGGTGAGCATCTGTCCCCCCAGTTTTTGTGGTGTGTCCCTCTGTTGGCACTGTAGTCGGCCCTTGTCGCCTGTTTTTTGGTAAATTTAGCATTTTGAATTGGCGCTGGAGCCGGCGGAGCCCATTGGTGAGTGAAATCACTCTGATTGGCAGTTCAGGTCAGTGCACGAGAAGAATATAAAGTGAGTAAAGTAAAAAACTTAAGTAAAGAGTGTGTGAGATCAAAACAAACTTGTTATACAAGATGAAATTAGGCGTCAGATACCGAGCTCTGTAGCAGAAATGGTTCGGAATAGTTTGTGTTATTGTACACCAGCACATAGTAAATATGCTTTGTACTCTAAACATAAGGTTGTGTTGTTAATGTGCTATATGGCTAACTGGTGTTTTGAATTCATCCTGTCGGTCCTTCAGTTTCCCTTTTCGAATGATGAATACAGGCTACAGCTGGCTGCTGCTATGGAGTGTTATTTCCTCTCATGCAGGTGCAGAATGTATGTGCTAGTTGGCTGTTAGCTATAGTCTTTGCGTTGGGTTCAAATGCAACTTTTTTGTGGAGACATAGGTGACGTGAGGCAGCGCAAAAGCTATCATTGCCAATGGTTCTGTGATGATTGTTTTGTGTGTCTGGGCCTTAAAACTTTCATTTTGAAGGAATTTTAGTTTTACTGTTTGAAGTCTTTTGTTTAAACTCAGTGTTGTCTCGTGTGGCAGTTGTTGTTTTTTGTTTGTATGGAAGATAAATAAAAGAAGAAAATAAGCAAATGTGATTAAGCATGGTACGGTCCAAGGTAGGTTTATTTTAAACCATTTTTAATTGAATCTACAGAACAATTACAATATCATATATACCTATACTGGGCAATATGGCTTAAAGTTAATATTGTGATATGTTTAGGCTGTATCGCGATATGCAATATATATCGCAATATTTTGAAATCTCCTCTGAAGCACTGTTGACTACTAAAATTATGAAAAGAATTAAAGTTACAATAAAGTTAACTAAAGAACAGTTATAATAAAGTTCATTAAAGTACTGTTATGATAAAGTTAAAGTATTGTTGTAATTAAATAAATCAAAGCGGAACCAGTGGTGCTTTTATTTTGAAGCAACCTGCTCGGCTCGGGCCAGAAGTGTTGATGTTTTTAATAATAATAATAATGATAATACATTTTATTTATACAGTGCTTTTACAGCTCTCAAAGACGCTTTACATTTAAAACCAAAGAAAAGAAGTACATACATGTAAGTGCAAAGACATAAACAGAAGACAAGGACAATATAAAACAACAAGGTGCAAAAGCATAGTGCAAAAAAAAGGAGGGCACATGAGGAACCGAGAACGAAAAGCTAATGTTAAAGGTTAAAAGCGGATTTGAAAATGTGGGTTTTGAGGAGTGATTTGAAGGTGGATGAATTTGGACAGTCACGGATGTGTATAGGGAGGGTGTTCCAGAGGGAGGGGGTGGCTATGGAGAAGGCTCTGTCGCCCCAGGTTCTGTGCTTGGTCCTGTGTGGGGGTGAGAGGAGGTTTTTGTCGGATGATCGAAGGTTGCAGGAGGGAGTGTGGTGGTGGAGCATGTCCGTGAGGTAGGAGGGGGCCTGGCTGTGGAGGGCTTTGTGGGTGAGGAGGAGGATCTTGAAATTGATTCTGTACGGGACAGGGAGCCAGTAAAGGTTTTGCAGGACAGGGGTTATGGTGCCATGAGCTTCTGGTTAACAGTCAGAGGTTAGCAGTTAGCATAAAGTTAAACTGTTGTCACTGCACCTGTAAACGTGAGCACGAGCTGGAAACAAACTAACAGCTCTCAACTTTATGTATTAATAGTATTTGCAAGTTAAACTGGTGCTCCATGGTCGCAAAATATGACTATATAGTTACAGTCATCTTTTGTGGCCCAGCTAGACTCAAATTCAAACATGAATACTTGATGACAGCAAAGCGAGATAGGTGACAAATTAGAGGACAAGTTGACATAAAATGTCTCAATGAGGTGGTGATCCACCACAGGCCAACCCATTGTTGTTCCGCTGGGTGAAGATCTGGTGACTGTGAAGGTTGTAGCGTATCATTTACATTATTTTCATGCTCATTAAACCAATCAGTGAGCCCTTGGACCATTTTGATATGTTTCACCACTTATTTACTCAGATTTATCCCTGTAATTTGGCACCTGTCTGTATATGTTCTGACCAAAAAATGAAAGAGAAGGCAAGCAGATGGTTGTTGGGAAAAAAAAGTGCTATTTTAGCTTTCTTTTGACAAATAAATGTTTTTAAAACATATTTCTTTACAACTCAATAGTCAGATTTCATACATCTCCTAAAGTTTTTACCGACAGTTTTGTCTGATATATATCTGACATATTTTCCCTCTGACACACTCCGTCCTCGTTCTCTGACGTTCCTCCTTTGTCTCTCTGACTCTTTCTTGGATAGCTCTTTGCCTGTTACATCTCCTTTATTTGTCTAGTCTAAACATCTCTTTCATCTTCTCTCCCTCTGCTGCCTTGACAGAAAATTGACTCAGATTTCCAGTGTCTATCTGCTAGATACAGTAGATGTCCTATAGACATTCCCTCATTGCTACATCTCACATGTTCCTCTGCACCTCTGAGGAGAGACTCATACTTCAGCAAAATCAAGGGTCAGAAAATTGTGGATTGAATACACTTGTTGTCACTCTTGAAAAAATGGGTGTAATTGAAGTTTATTTAAGTGTGTAGACTCCAAAAAGGTCCACAAATGCAAGAAACGAGGTTTTTGCTTTTTTCCATAGAGACGTCTTAACTTCATATGTCTTCTGTATTTCTGTTGTGTTAAAGGACCAGTTCACCAGTTCCTAAAATCTAAATACATATTTTTCCTCTAACCTGTAGTGCTATTTATCAGTTTAGACTATTTTGGTGTAAGTTGCTGTGTGTCAGAGATATCGACCATAGAAATATCTGCCTTATCTTGAATATAATGAAACTAGACGACACCAAAAACTACATTTGACAAAACTCAACATGTCTTTTCAGAAATAACGACTCATTTGCCTGAGATAATCCACAGACCAAGCTGTGAGCAATTTCACATGGGAACTATTTTCTTTCTACCAAACTACAACCGCCAACCATATCACCCTGCAGAAGTGTGCATCTACTGCTGGTTCCCCGATTACCACTGAGCTAGCTAACATTACAGCTTAGCTGAACATTAATATTTAAATGTTGCATTCACATCCATGAATAGATGCTTCCTTCTGTGCGATGACATAGTTGGCTCTGCAGACAGACCCTCAGTAGCAACTGTAGTAACTTGAGTTCAGCCAGCGCAAACTCCAGCGCTGGGGGTCACACTGTGCTGAATCTAACCTGTGCAATGGCAGCAGCAGAAAGTTTGTAGAGAGTTTGCGTTTTCTGAGTTCTCGCTTCAGCTTATTTTCTTGTAACAGATATGAGGTCATGTTAGTCCCAAATTACCACACAAAAAGCAGCAACTTCTTTCCACCTCTGCATTTCATTTATATTGATTCGGGCATAAAAAATAGAGAAAAAATTGTAAATTGTAAAAACAAACAATCAAAAAATAAACCTGTGATGCTAATTTGAATTGATTTTTTCCCCCACCTTTAATAGATAACATGAGCCTTTAACTTGAATACGGTATCAAACAGCTAATAATGTGTTGGTAATGCCAGATAAACCTTGTTCCCGATCACCAGCTCTGAGAAGCTGAACTGAAAGTGAAGCTTTACTGGCAAAATACGATATGTATATTGTATACTGTATATGTATATGTATATGTATATTATCCTTGTTTTGTTGTGGCGTTACTGGAAGCCCCACCTTGCAAGTTGAGAAGATTTCTTCCTTCGGTTGGTGACATTAGAAACCGTGGGAGTCTGAATCCCTGTTCTTGAGACTGTCATTGGTACACTGCAGTTCTAAGGGCAAAATGCTCAGCCATGGCATTGACTGCTTATTTTGTTCATTATATGTCTTGTAGCATATAGAAATCACCATATGGACATGTTTACAAGGCTAAAAACTGGATTTTCCCTGGAAGGGGTCTTAAGAAAGAAGTACTTAGTGTATTAATGCAGATGCATAAAACGGGGACTTGTACAATAGCTCCCAGTGAATGCAGCACTAATGCCAGATGAATTCACAGCCGACATGAACAAGGACTCCCACTGTATGTGAAGAAACAGAACAACTGTATCATTGTGAAGTTCCCGGCAAGTCCGAAGTGCTAATGTGTAACGGTGATCAAGTCAGTTTATTCTGGCAGGCTGCCGGCTGGAGGCTTTGACAGATTGGTGCCATCAGCGCATTATTTCATTAACACTTGTGTTTTCATGGTGAACATCTTCTCACTCGTCATTTTTCTCTCTCTTGCCCCCCCCCCCTTCCTCCCCCCCGTCCTTGCCATCCTGACAGATGGAGAGCGAAAAGAAGAGGAGAAAATACTCCACGAGCAGCAACGACTCCGACACCACCGACAGTAAGTTGGAGAGGGAGATTCAGGGAAGGGGAGGCAACGTGTGTGTGTGTGTGTGTATGTGTGTATGTGTAAGAGGGAGTAAGAAACCTGGAAGTGTCAGAAAAGTGAGTTCCTGTGCTGCTGTTGTACAGTAAGCTGGCTGGTTTTTAGTCAACTCCCGCAGGGTATTTCTCGTATTCACTCTCCATATAGACTTACCTCCTGTCTTGCTGTCGTCCCTCCTCTGCTCATTAAGACTTCCTTTTCTTAAACACACCTACAATAGAGATATGATTAGGCAGCCCAAGCAGCTGTTAAGCATGGTGAAGTATGAGGGCCGCTGTTAAGAGAAAAAAAAATATGAAAGATTTTGAAATATTCCTTGCCTCTAAAAAAAAGCATGTAGGAAGACAGTGTAGATGAGATTTACGAGCCACAAGAAAGATTATAGTGGGGAAAAAAACTCTATTTAACAGAAATCTACACTACACCAGACACCGAGTGAGGCCATGTTTACATGAGAGTGATCCACTAAAAACAGAATTGTTTCTCATTTTCGCTTTGAAAAAAGTTCCGTGTGTAGACGACAGTGTTTTGATAACAATCGCCGTGCACATGGATCCGCAAAAATGACCAAAAACGCTGCAGTATGCATGCTAGGCCAGTAGTTGGCGGTATGACGCTTACGCTTCCTTCTACAGTGCGGCGATGTATAAACAAACAAAATGGCAACCGTACAAACGTTTGTCTGGACGGATGACGAGGTGGAGTTGCTACAGTGAATCTACACTATGATGGGGAATCGTTGATAAATTAAATAGGGTGAGCAGCACAAGCAGAGCTTGGGAGTCTGCCATTGTTGTTGTGATGGTCGACTTTCTCGTTGTCGTATAAATGGGACCTGAGTGAGCCCTAGTCGGCTATATAAGGATAAATAAATACAAATATAGGCCCACATATGACTATAAACATTTCCTCAGAAAACAGTAATCATCAGCGAGCATGAAATCAGATTATTTGTAACAGCAAACAAACAGGAAGCAAGGAATTGTGGTTTGTGTTCACTAAACTTGAATTTTCACTCTGCACTTACCTCAGTATTCTAGTGAGACATCAGCTGCTTCTCGAACCGGTTGCTTACTGCATTACTTGTTTGACTCTTACATAATTAATAATGTTTTTAAAATGATCATTTTATGAGTGATATTTTTACTCGGGTGGAGTTGCACTGCAGTGGAATTAATGTTTTGCAAGATTACACTACGTCATATTATTTTCTGAGCTTGGTGATCGCAGACGAATCCGACAGGCGATCTGCACCTCGTCTGTCCTGTGTGCATGCATCTTAATGATATGCTGTATTAGTAAATCAGATGCTTAATGCACAACATTTAACATTTGTGGTGTGCATTTTATTAGTACATCTGGCCTCATGTGCCTTGGAGGTCATGTTAAGCATGTGCAACATGTAGTTCTTATGCTGACTAATAAACAGATATTAAGTGATGGATGTATTTGATAGAGGGACCCAGAGTCATGACATTGACTCAAATACCCACTTAGACACACCATAGACTGAAGATTAAAGCCGACTGTATAGAAAGATTTGTGTCTAATGGACTGTACATGTCTTTATACGCAGTCTGTGAGACAGACAGACAGAAGACGTACACTGCATGATGATGGGAACATCTGGCCCGTCTAACACATCACCGACACTGGCAGCCTCTGCTGGAAAATGGTTTGATAATAAACAGTCTTTGAAGAGCGGTACAGTGTTACACAAGCACACTTGGCTCTCACAACTGATAACTGTCCACCAAGCAGGAAGATTTAGTCACTGAAGACAGCGAGCGATTTTAATTTAATTTCAAATGTCATTCGTCTTGGCTTTTGGCAGTTCAACATGACTAATTCTTGGCTTTTTGTGGTGTGCATTTTACAATAACAAGCAAATATATTTGTTTGGCCATTTCTCTGACACTGTCAGCCGAGCATACACAGAAAAATAGATACATAAATGAACTAGAAAACAACATGTTTAGTGCAAGAGTACGACTCACTTTCTAACTTTTTGTGTTGTGTCTACCTGAAAACCCCGCTGATGAGGATCTTAGATGTTGGGTCCTTTTGTACATCCTGTTGGAATGTTTTGCAGTGTATATTTAAGCAATATCACACTCAAGCTCGTGATGTTATACTCGTATATCGTCACGGCTGTGACTGTCTTCGGCACTCGGCCGTCTTCTGCCAACAAAAATAGTTCCCTCAGGACTCTGCTGTCACCATTGCTATGTAACGCAGACATGGTGAGCCAGGCACTTACTCTTTATACGCATTTATCTGCACATTTCCATTAATTGTGCAGCCGGTGAAATAAGTCTCCGGCTGCTGCATGGTGGACTGTCGCTTCACAGGCACAGCCGACTCTGCCTTCTGATCTGACAGTATGTTGCTCCATCGTTTCCTGCTCTCCATGGATAGCTTCAAGTAGCTTTTTAACAAGCTCTCAGACCTGCAAGACAAAAGGTATATTTTAGGGACCGACTCCTAATAAGAAGACTAACTATACACATAGGCTAAGTTAAAACAACATCATACCTGTGCCCACTCACTGTCATGATCTCCCTAGCTTCAAGACCCGCATCTGACAGCTTATGTATGACAGTCGACCTGAAACTGTGATTAGTGTAGATAGCTATTGTACCCGCCTCTTTACACATCTTCGGCAGCATCTGTGCGAGTGAGTTTATTCCCAGCGGAGCTTTAGTGTACCAGATATTGTCTGTGTGAGCTGCTGTCATCCTGGGCTTCAGATCAAGGGCATTTGTATCTGGTGGAAGTTTGTTTAAATACTTTTCCAGGGATGCAACTGCTGACCTAACTGACACTAACCGTCAGTTTTGATTTGATTGTTGATTGCAATCAGCTGTGAGGCGGAGTGATACATACACAGTGAAATAACCGTGATGTTGTACTCCAATATCGTCACAGTTTTACTGTCTCTTGACCAATCAGATTGCAGGGCCGGAACTAACTGTTGTATAAACATGCAGTCAGCTGACAAAACATAAACATGAACCCATGCTGTTGCCTAGCAATGCAATTCCACTGAAATGGTCCATTACACCTCTTCCTAACATACAGTGAGCGAGTGAACTCTGGCGGATAGAGTGCAAAAAAGTGTCCAGATATACTACAAGTGACAACAACATCCAGGGAGCCCATTGAGCCCTGAGCAAGCCTAAGCAAGGGCTTGCTGTTACTCTGAAAATTGGTTGGAGGTGTGCGAAGCTTTGTGAAAGAAGAGCCAGGGCGAGCAGTTTTTCAAGCAAGCAACATGTTGCTTAGCCTGTTCACTGATGCACAGTCAGGTTAGGACATCTTCATTGGGAAACAATCTGATGTTCCCTCGTCCGTGTCACGTCAAGTAAAGAAGAGGTGTTTTTACTACTGTTGCACACTCTAGTCACTCTCGAAGTTCCTCAACAAGATGCCCAAACTGACAAATGATTAAAAGTACTCACAATTGTCTTTTGTCACATGTTCATGTATTTCAGAATAACATATCTTCATTTGGGATATTCTTTATCTGGAATCAACACAAAATCAAATTGCCTATTTCAGTGTAATAGACTTTTAATAGAAAAAAACACTGGTTCTTTAAGAATAGAAAGAGTTCGTTTGCCAGTAACAGTCCAAGTTCAGACACGGAAGTTGCTTTTGGAAGTTAAATAAGTTCTCTAAATAAAGCTGTGGGCTCACAGGATGAGGAATGTCTTAACCCTCTGCATTAAAACAGCTTTTTAGCTAATTTAAAATTCAGATCTATGGAGATGAATTCTGGGTGATGTAGTGACTCACACTCGAAAAACCGCAGCCAGAGATTGGAATGACCTCGCACAGGTTTAACTGTCATGTGGTCACAGGTCTGCATGTATAAATGATTTTACAGCAGGTTTAACGGGCTGTTTTTCAGACCTGACTGAGCCACCCTGCGCTGAAGGCTGCACTCACTGCTGCTTTATAATTAGCCGTTAGCTGTTAGCTTCCCCCGGCCAGTGCAGTGTGGGCTCCAGCTGCATCTGTTGACTGAAGGTTATCAGGTTTCTAATTGAAGGATGCCCATGATAATTTTGCCTGCCGTGCACCAAGCGGGGCTTTTAATTAACACACGGCCATGATGGTAACCTCCTACTGCGCTGCGGCCCGTTTGGTTATCTGGCCACACAGTGATGATGTGGTGCAGCTGCCTGGTGGGGTGTGTGGATGTAACCTGTAACACACACACACACACACACACACACACACACACACACACTCTCTCTCTCTCTCAAGTGGAGTGCAGATGCATGAGTACACTCGAAATGTCCAGCAGACTGGCACACACTCCCACTGAATATATTCTGAACACATATACAGATCTGTGACAAATGAAAAGAAGCAACATAATGTGTCTAAGTGAGGTGTTGTTCCACCTCGAGCCGCCACAACAGCTTCATTGCTTCTTGGCAGCGATTCTCCGAGTCTCTTTGGTGTTTCGATGATGGAGGTGTAGAGAGCACTGCTGTCAGACACGTCGCTCTAAAATCTCCCACAGATGTTCAGGTGTCTTAGAAATTGAGATGTGTTAAAATATTAATACAATGAGCACACACTCGTACAACAGATGCACACATAGACACACCTGTTTGAAATGCCACCACAACACTTTTACTGTGTCAGTGTTTTTTTGTGGTTTGCTGAGTTTGTTCTGTACAAAGTAGGGTCTTTTTGCCCCACTTTAGGGTTGGGTGATATGTTGAAATTTTTCAACCAGCTGCCACCAGCCGAAAACCCAGCAACTGCTGATGTGTTTGGGCAGGTGTGTGCCGCCATCCTAACCCTTCCTTGTAATTCAGCTGGTAGAGTTCTCCATGTTCCGCAGGCTCACTTAGATTTTTTAGTCTAAATAATAGAAAATAAACTCACAAAATGTCAAGAAACGAAATATTCTTACACATATTTTCTTAATTAAACAG